GGGGGGGGGGGGGGGGGGGGGGGGGCGGCGCTGGGGGCGGGGCTGCGCTGGGGGCGGGGCTGGCGCCGGTTGACGTGCGCGCCCCCGCAGTGACGGGCTCGCCTGCGCGCGGGGAGACCGAGCTCCAGTTCAAGTTTCGGGAAGTGCTGCTCTGGGCTCCGCGAGACGCGGAGATGATCGAGCCCTGGACACCGAGCCTGGGAGAGCTGCTGGCCAGGCCCGAAGCTCTGACGCTGAAAAACCTGTGTCTGCTCGCGGCTGCCGCGGCCCTCGCATCAGCGAGTGCGATCCTGCTGATTTGGTGAGTCTCCGAGACCCTGGAGTCCCAGCATCCAGCTCTCCTTCCTCAGCCCCGGGTGTGCGGGGCCCCAGCCCCCTCCTCCCTTGGACCCAGGAGTCCTGGCTCCCAGCGCTTCCTCCTTCAGATCCAAGAATCCAGGCCCTGTCCACCTTTGGAACCCAGACGTCCAGGCTGCCAGGACCTAGATTTCTGGTGTCCAAGCCCTCATTCAACACCTATTCCTCCTTTTTCCCCCAGGATGTTCTTTCGATGGTACTTTAGCGGCAATTAATAAAGGTATCTCGTCTGTCATTATCCTATTTCCATCCTTCAAATAAAGAACATATTTCACTTCTGGGTTCTTGCATCTTTGAAGGTGGTCACTACTAATTCAGTAGGAGGAGGGGCAGCATACCCCCCAAAATGCCCGGGTGAATGTAGCCCCCACAATGACAGCAATAGACATGGCTACCACAGTGTAAGGCCCTGTGCTGAGGGCTTTAAGTGCAAGCCCGGACCCCTCCCCAGCTTTCTGGCAGTGTCCTACAGAGTCCTTGATGTTGCCCTCAAAATCTGTTCCTCCCCAAGGCTTTTCTGTCAGAAAGAGCACCACCATCCACCTCGCAGCTCAAACGGGAAACCTAAGAGTGGTGATTAATTCCTCCTCCCCTTCCAATCCATTTCCAAGTCTCAGCCTTTTTAACTCCTAAATATCTCACAAAGCTGCCCTCTCTATAGTCCCTCTCCTGGATCACTGCAGCAGCTTTGCCACTGGCCTCCCTGCTTCTACTTGGCCTAGCCCCACTACAGTTTATTCTCCATACAGCAGCTGGGGTAATAATTTTAAAAATGTCAGATCTGCTCAAAATTCTTCAGTGGCTCCCTATTACCGTTGGAATAAAATCCAATTCCTTGTCAAGGTGTCCAAGGCCCCACAGGTGGCCCTTGCTGACCTTGCTGGCCTCTCTCCCTTGATCTTTCTACCTGCAGTTTCCCTGGCCTTTGTTCCTTTTCATATTCAACATGGTTCTTCTCACCCTCTCCAGGATCTTGCTATATGCTGTCTCCTGCTTAGAATAATATTTTCTCCTTTTTTTGTCTAGTTAAGTATGATTTCCCCTGAGCGGCCATTACATGTATTAATCCAATTAATCCCCAACTCTGAGGCTGGCACTATATTTATTTTACAGACTATCTTTCCCTCATCCTCTTTGCTACTTTCCACTCCCATTGGCCTCCTTTTTTGGTCCCTTCACCATGCAAAGCTCAGTCCCATTTCCAGCCCTCTGCAGGTGCTGTGCTTCGTACTTGAAATGACTTTCCTCTGAACTTCACAAACCCATCTCTCATTGCACAGGTCCCAGCTCAAATGTCACCTTCTCTGACCATCCACCTCCCCCTGTGACTGACATTCCTCTATTTTAGCTTGTACATAGCACCCATCTAGACCTAATGTTAACTCATTTTTTTTATTTGGTTTTGTCTTCTCTACCTAAAAGTTAAGGTCCTTCTGAGCATGAATTCATTCTTGTTCATTGACATATTCCCCTACATTAACTCATTTATTCAGTGGATATTTATTGAGCACTTACCATGTGCCAGGCACTTTCAAGGCACTGTAGAGACAGCAATGAAGAAATCAGAAGAGACAAAAAATTTGGCGCTCATGGAGCTTAGATTCTAGTGGATGGTAAAGGAAATACTGTTTCTGTACTTATAACACTTCTGACACCAAATGTGTGGGGGTTTTTTTTACCCCATACAAACCAGTTCTCCAACTCTCCAGACACTAATTGAGTGTTCTAAAATTTAATTAAATTCTGACACCAACTACCCAGAGTTAGTGTCAAACACCACAGATTTTAAGGGCTCAGGCCCACAAGACTGCTCTCACTTCAGATGCCATTCACAAGTAGTGGGTCCCCCCGGTACCCATGCTTCTGTCTGACTTATCTATAAAGTCGGGGCTTCTTGCAAACCGCACCCCCCCCCCACCACCACCATTCAGTAATTTGCTAGGATAGCTCACAACTCACGGAAACATTTACTTATATTTACCAGTGCATTATAAAGGAAACTGATTAGCCAGATGAAGTACAGAGGGCGAGGTCTGGAAGGGTCCCAAGTGCAGGAGCTTTTGTCCCTGTGGATTTGGGGTGTGCCACCCTCCTACACATGGATGCATTCACCAACCCAGAAGCTCTCTGAACCCCATAGTTTAGGGATTTTATTGAAGTTTCATCGTGTAGGCAGGATGGACTATTCACTCACCAGCCTGTCTCCCTTCCCTGAGGAAGGAGGTTGGAGCTGAAAGTTCCAAGCTTCTGATCATAGTTTAGTCTTACTGGTGACCAGCCCCCCCCATCTACGAGCTCAGCAGGAGACACTTCAGGAGAATAAAAGATGCTCCTAAGACCCAGGAAATTGAAGGGATTTAGGAACTTTATATGGAAGACCCTCATATCACTCATATCACTCCTAGGACAAGAGTTCTAGGAGCTCTGTGTCAAAAACTGGGGGCAGATAACAAATACATATTTCTTACTATGCCACAGACAATAAACAAGAAAATTAAGTAAAATAAAATATCAAGTCATATGAGGGAGAAGGTAAAGCAGAGAAACAGGGAATGTTGGGGGATAGGTGGTAGCAATAGGATATTTGGAGAAGACCTTGCTGAGAAGGTGACATTTGAATAAAGACTTGAAG